GGCTTGTTGGTACGTCTGACGATCGTCCTCCAATTTCGTCTTATGCCATCGCTTGTACGCATTCCTCTTCTCCTTTATGACTTTTTGCACTTCGTCATTCCACCACCACGTTTCTCGATTGATCCTTCTTTTTCCTGGCTTTGCACCTCCCAGGATCATGTGTGCCACTTCGAGGACTCAATCTTTCAAGCTTTTCCAGGATTGATCTGGGTTATCTTGCAAGCGTGGTAGAGTTGTTTGCAGTGTTTGTTTCGCCGCGTTGTTGTCTTTCAATCTCCACCATTTGATGCGTGTCCTGGTCTCTGTGGCTCTCCTGGTGTGCCTATTTATTGGGATTCTAATGTCGAGAAGCAGAGGTCTGTGCTGAGGTATGCAGCTCTCACCTGGAATGACTTTGCAGTCTTTTACGTTTTTGAGGTCACATTGTCGGATAGCCCAGAAGTCTATCTGTGTTCGTCGATCGCCACTCACATATGTTATGAGGTGATCATCCTTCTTGATGTAGTATGTGTTCGCCAGCACCAGATCATGAGCTGAGGCGAATTCCAGAATGCGCTCGCCTTCTTCGTTGCATGTTCCGTATCCGTGGCCTCCGTGACATTTTCCGGCTTCTCCTCGCCTTTTTCCCACATGTCCGTTGAGGTCCGCTCCTAGCAGGAGTGCCTCATACAGTGGAATTGAACTGATGTGGTCATCCAACTCCTGCCAGAACGCGTCTTTTTTGTCATCCTTACATCCGACTTGTGGAGCATAGGCGGTGATTACTCGTAGGACCTGTTTCCCAGTGTCTATCTTAATGCTCATCAGACGATCGCTCAAGCGCTCAACGTCAACTATATTGCTCCGTAGAGTCTCTGAGACAGATATACCAACCCCGTTTCTGGTGCAGGTGGCACCGTTGTACATGTCGCGTGACTTTGCCCTGGTTATATCCATCCCCGATGTCGCGTGACTTTGCCCTGCTCCACTTTGTTTCCTGCATGCAGGCTACATCGACTCGCCGTCTCTTCAGAAGATCTGCTAACTCACGAGAACGAGAGGTGAGTGTACCCATATTGATGGTAGCTAGACGGAGAGTCTGCGATGCCTTGGTTCGTTGCCTTTGGTGAACTAGCCGCTTTAGCCGTCCCCGTTCACCTTGCTGAGACGGTAACCCTCGCTCACTATTCGCATTCGTCGGGCTCGAATGCGCGTCGCCTCCAGGGGACGCCCTAGCCTTTACTCGAGGTACTTTATGAGACATGTTTGCAATTGTGATGCGACGGGGTGTTTCTCAGCCGGCTTGTCGCATGCACTTTTTTGGAAGGGCAGCTTGACGCTGGAATTGTGAGCAGAGTTTTGCCGCAGAAATTAGGCTCACGGTGGTATCGAACCCGTGACCTTCAGCACGGCAATGTTACGTAGAGCACTAACCACTAGACTAACTCTGCTCTAGGCGTACGAGCGATAAAAAGGAAAATTTGAAATAAGCATTCAAGCTCTTCTCAATGGCCTAGAATTTATTTGGGAAGGCCTCTTCGACTGAGCTTCCCTTGTAGTTCGGTGATGAGCTTGTACCTAGAATTTGCAAAGTCTCACATCCCAATCACAAAACTAAAATTCTAAGAATTCTCGGTATAGAACATTATTACACTACACCAACATTTTCGTCTGTTCGACACCGAAAAAATCGTGGCTTCTTCTAATGTTAGCTTTGCAAAAAATCAATTTTGTAAATAAAAACCAGACATTTGAAATGGTGGAGGCTTTTCGAGATTGCAGAGACAGTAAGAAGATCACTCTAGGAAACACTCATAGTAATTTGGTTTGGTAAGAAGTAAGTTTTGGTAAGAAGCAAATTCGCCAAAACTATAAAGTATAATCAGCTTTTTCCAAGTAAACTTTGTGCTGATCGATGGCCTTGTGTTTTAGGCTTTGAAGAAAACAACACAAACAGCGAATCTGACTTTAGAACATCCTTATCAGAAATCGTAACTCTTATGAGGGTTATCTAATAGCTGCAAACTTCGCTTGTTAGGTCATGAAACTACCTCGTGTTGCGGGAAAGGATTATCACTTGCACAGTGATTTGAACAATCTCGGTAAAAATGGCGTCGTAAGAGATGCCAGTGAAAGCAAAAAATTATTATTATCAAGGTCATGGCTGCCTCCCTTGATTACATGCAAATATGTTCAAAAAAAGCTTAGATTCTTCAAGAAGATGGAGAAAATTTTCTTTTCGGTACGGTTTAATACGTTACCGAGCGAAAATATTAAACAAAAGGATGACTTCGAGCTTCGACACTGAGCTGAGAATGCCTAATTGATAAAAATTTTGCGCGTAGCGTCACTATGCAACAGTATTTCGTAACAGATTATTGCTGAAGAATTCAATGGAAACGTAGCTAACAGCAGCCTTGCAGTAGGTTTTACATTCGCATTTGTTGGGAGTGTAAGGCGACACCAAAACGATTTCAAGCTGTTCGCGTCTGCCTGCCAAACGGCAACATCAATGAAAAGTGAGTCAGTGTGAGCTGTTTGACAAACCTTGCATCGCGTTGTGAGCAAAAGCAATTTCTGAACAAAAGAACAATTCAACTGCTTGAGCGGATATTGCGCTCGAGGATGTAGCGCCTCTAGTTTATTCGTGTAAGTTGCTCAGGTTCAATACTTATCTGTTCGAAATCTGATTCCAAGGTAACTGCAAAAAACCTTTGATATGACAACTTGTCTATCACACCATGTGGTCACAGGAAAACTCAGTGTACTTGAAAGCACTCACTTTGAAGTTGAAAAGCATTTTCATGAGCAATACATCTAAGAGCGAAAATTCGCCATTCGAGACATACCCCTCTGAAGATTAGCCGGAACGGAAGAGTAAATAGCTCTATTCCTACGCATTCAAGCTCATGACTGCCCAATAACCCATTGCGAATTCTGATAGGCAAACCACATTTTGATGTTCGTAACTAAACACCAAAATTGCAAGAGGAGTGATACTGGTCAAGAAAATCCGACTTTACATGGTTTATTTTTTCTTCAAGCAGATCGACATAAAAACTATGTGCTTATTACGAGAACCAAATATTTCGTGAGTGAGGCTACACACTCACAAACAGAGCAAAACTCTGCGGAAACAGCCGGTAACGCTCTGCGACTGTTACAGCGCGATGAAAAAAGTGCGCCGCGTCTGGAAATCAGAAATGTCGGCAACCAATGAGAACCCTGCTGAGCATCTCTTTAAAACTGCACAAACAGAAGACCAAATGTGTGATACCGCACCTCAAATGCATCACAACGCAATGTAAAATTCAAATCCGTTCCAAGGAGTAACTGACTGACAAAGGAAGTACTACCAATGGTTGTGTCCTTTTGATATGAGATGCACATCATCTGAAGCAGCTTTGAACGCTGATTTCAAATCTGCTTTCCGTTTCTGCGGAACGCTCTTCTGAAGGGAGTTATGGAAGCTTGAACATTCTATTTTGGGGGTGCTCCTTGAGTTTCAGGGCGCTGCTATGTGCGTTGGTGGTGCGGTAATGTAGTGGTTAGTTGCTGACATTGAAGGCGAGAGGTTGATGGTTCGAATCCAGTGGAGAGCGAACTATTTTGCTTATTGAATGTGTTTTTGAAAGCACTCTAAATCGCCTGCAGGCACTTACTGTAATGCCTTTGGCGTAAGTGACCTGGAAAAAGAATTTTCTGGCAAAACTGCTTGTAATGTGAGTCTGAAATTCTATTATATTTTCCCTCCAAGTGTAACAAAGCTTCTGTTACGACCTAATATAATGAGTTCGGTCATGTCCACATGAATTTTGGAAACGCCGAATCTTTTACCCTATATGAATTCGATTTATATCAGAAAAAAATGCAGAATTTTACGAGCATTGAAATTCATTGAAAAGTATTCAATTCATCACTTAAAAGCCACAGGCCACTTAAAAGCGGATCAGAAAGAAGTGTGCAGAGAAAACGCTGCCAAAGGCGCACGTGGCTTCTGAGTCAACAAAGTATCTCTACTCGTGACTTATCGCAGGCCCAATCAGATTCATGCTGAATATGGGGCTAGGTCAATCCATCTGATGCGTATTTAATGACAGAGCTCTAGGAGTTGCATGTGTCAAATTCTAATTCTTCATACTGGTATCTTCTAACTATGACGCCTCTGGAGCTCTTTCGACAGAGCTGTAAAGTATGAAGCAGGCTTGAGCTTCAAAACATGAGACAGATTAGATTTGATTCTTTGTTATACAAGTACAACTTCCAAGTTCTTCCTTGCATGTGAATGACATTCTAAAGTTTATGCTCAGGATATCCACGAAATGTATCAGGAATTTGCGCACAGCTTCAAAATGCTAAAATTTTTAGTGCTACCATACATGAAGCATGAGTACTTTAGCAAAGAGATCAACATAACAGACGATGTAATCACATACAGAGGGAAAAGAGATACGTTTTCAGAAAAAAATTTGCAACTCATGGAAGCAACGACTATCAGGGGCTTCTGACTAACAAGAAAACTACAAGAAGTTGCAGTAGCCTATCAATACGAGATACGTACTACCCAAGCAGCATAGAATGCTGATTCCAAAACTGCCTTTGTCAGAAGCAGAACGACTTTGTGTAAGGGGTTATAAGTATTTTCCCCAAAATTCGCACTGACTAAAGCAACTAATATCATCGAAGCGATTCAATTGCTCTTGTTAGCACTGTAAGTCAACGCTGAAAGACAACCAGCATTATCATAAGCGCTAACAAGTCATTTCGAACTAGATTATATCGATGTATATAGATACTGATGGTTCAGGCCACCATCAACACCTTATCAATAAAAACCACTCTTCACTGAGACTCTTCTGCAGCTGCTAGAGGCAGTTATCGAGCTTTCTAGCTGCCTTAGGGCAACATCTATCTCATGCCAAAGGCCTCAGCGACTTCCTCCCTTTATCTCCCTAGTAAAATAACTCTATTCAATTTGGTGCGATAAAGCTACCGGCTGTTTATGTTAATGAAAAAATTACCTGCTCCCGGTGGATATGGTACACGTTGGACCATAACGCGCTGGCCAGGAGCAGCGCCAAGCGCCTGCTGCTGTCGAATATACTGCATCTAGATAGCAATTTTGAGTGCGACACCAAACAAAATCAAGCATAATTCATTCAAGGTCCCATGTTACAAGAAATCCCAATCAATTTCCAAAAGTTCGCACCTGTTGCTGCTGGGTCCACTGCGCTTGCGGATTTTGTTGTGCATAGTACTGCTGCTGATTTCCTGTCATCATTCCCATTTGCTGCTGCGTCATCTGCTAAAAGTGAAAAGACCATATGAGTAAGTATTGATAAGCATCGATACATCTGCATTCACTTTGAGCTGTACCCTTCAGTCAAAGGAACATAAATGAGATAGCAAAAAATGAGTGTATATGAACAAGATGTATGACATTTGTGTGGCTTTGCTAGCAACGCGAAAGTAAGCAAAATAGACAAGGTTTGTGTGTACGAAGTTTTCATGATTCAAGCTACTAGAGCGAAACAGTAGGGATATCACAGCGAAAACTCGCAAGTAAGTGGAAGCATATTTTACCAAAGTCTCACTCAAACATAAGAAATTATGCCATATCAACTATCGACACGAAGATGTTCAGCTGCTGCTCAACTGCTCAACAACGACCTCAGCTTAAGCAACATACAAAAAAGTTTAACAAAAGGTAATCGGTGCATAAAAGAAACTAATAAGAACAGAATATTGGGTGGAGCTGGACGCTAAAAGAAAAGTAACCAACTTGTTGATTTAGCATGTGTTGCTGCTGTTGTTGTTGGCTCATAAGTTGCTGCTGTTGCTGTTGTTCGATCATCTGCTGTTGTCTAGCGTACATAGCAGATGTACTGTCAACTTGACCAGTGTTTGGAGAAACCATATGCTGGTGCTGCATTTGCATGACACCTGAGCGTGCAAAATCGAAAGAGATATGCGTACTTATAGTATCAAAAACCGATGGTCCGATAAACGTGAGGAGAGCAGCAAATATCACAACAGCGAAAAAATTAACGAAAAGTGACCATATTCTTACCCGGACTATCCGGCACTTCCTGCGCATATCCCTGGGTCAACTGCTGCTGTCTTTGTGCAAAACCCTGATTCTGTTCATACTGCCCGACTGGTGTCCGTTGACCTTGTATCATTCCTTGATGCTGTTGTTGTATTAAGTTTTGAGGATTCATAGGCGTCCCATTCATAGATGGACTACCAATGGTTGCTAAACAGAAATATGCTGGGGACTAGAAGTTGGTGTTAGAAATCTTCTACTGCTTACACTGCTGCTGCATCAAGTTGGTCGGAGTACTCATTCTCGGCTGCTGCCCGCAATCGACCATAGCTAGAAAAAGCATACTATGGATGAATCACTATGCATCGAAAACGCTCACAAAAAGAAAGGAGAAAGCTAGGGGAACGGCCATAGGTTGTCGGTGTTGTCGGTGTTGTCGATGTTGTCGGTGTTGTCGGTGTTGTCGATGTTGTCGGGGTTGTCGGTGTTGTCGGTTGTCGAGATTGCCGGTCGTTGTAGGACCTCATGATAGACTCCACGTTTCGCGCGCTCTCTAAACCGTCTCTGACCCCGACAACCCCGACAACACCGACAATACCGACAACATCGACAACACCGACAAACTGACAACACCGACAACACTGACAACACCGACAACATCGACAACCTATGGCCGTTCCCTAAGCGAAAGATATTTGAAGCGATCAGTACTAGTGGAGACAGAGCCAATGCATATGCTTCGTTCAACTTCGTGGACAAGACAGCCTGAATGCCCAAACAGGATGCGACACCAAGGCAACGGTGACGGCCAAGACGTTTACTTACGCTACTCACAAGCTCATATGACCTCTAGGTATCCGCCCATTTCAGCTACTCAGAGAGAACCAAATTTTGATGTAGCAGTTTTTTTAACTGTGGAGAAATTTTTACTGATACTTCGCCGAGTGAACTTCTCGAATGAAGAATATCGGTTATGAAGCTTTATTAGGAACTGCGAAATCAAAACGTCGCGAAGTTAAACTATCGAAACAAGCAATTCAAAAAAGCGTGATACCACAGCTTTCAACATAAAAGGGGCTCACAAAATGAAGAACATAGGGTAGTTTTAAAGGACTTCAGTGAAAAGCACTAACAATAAGATGCAGGAGCCACATTATTGCAAAGATCACCTGCCACAGAAATGCACAACGACACAAAAAAGCGAAATGCGCATTTTCTTGAGCAATTTCAAATACTAGCGAAATAAACTTGTAAGCAGAAAGATGCCGATGCCAAAAACTGTCGAATGAGCAGCCAGTCAACATTGATCAAATATCATTCAACCGAATATTTTCTGGACATGCTATCATGGCCTGTGTGCCTATAGCTTGTTGGCATAGAACGTAAGAGCACAAGGGTAAAAAAACGGGCAGCAAAATTATCCGATTCAGCCCACTCTGCGTTCTATCGCGCACTCTGTACGTCTTCCTCTCGCCAGCTAGTGATGCATGAACAGCCTGTACAAAGTCGTGCTTTTCCCAAACAGTAAAATGACCACGGATTTGAAAAAGAAGTGAATAACCACAGAAACCTAAGCGGCAGATGAATGTGCGCATGTATTCCTTTCTTATCGACTATCAGTGCCAGTTTTGACTGACAAATGATGCGTGGTACCCCAGTACATTGATTAAATGTAGTATTGAGCTGACTAGTAGAATGATAGATTAGAGATTGATGGAAAAAGGCACTAAATTAGGATAGCAGGAATACAGATGTATATCCAAAGGAGTAGCTGACCCAAAAACACACAATGACACAAGCAAAATTCAGGGAGGATTTCGACCTTGTGGATGCCATTTGAGGAGGTGGCACAAAATAGACGACGACAACGAAAGAATACTCGGACTCAACCCAGCCATTTATGGATTATGTAGTCATTGACATTATGAGCGAAGTTCGCGTGTCGCATGCAGATATCGAAACTTTTCGTGATAGAGACGAAAAAAAGCGATCATGTTTGAAAGCATACTGACCCGGTAAACGCTGCGTAGTAATCATACATTACTTTCACTCTACATGAAACACAGATTTTTATCAAACCAATTTCCAAAGATTCAGAATAGTAAAGAACCAACCTCTGGAAGAATGCATGATCGATGGACTAGCTGCAGGCGATGATTGAATCCACTGCTAAATTCGACATTCGTCATAAATTTGTAAAGTTTTGACGCATGAAAGTAACGAATAACCTAACAAATTATATAACACTACATCGAACTTCGGCCATTAAACACTTCTACACAAAAGGAGAAAACCGAGTGAAATTAGGTAGCTACCTGATGTGGAGGACCGGGTACAACAAAACGCTCATTCTGCTGAGAAGTAGTAACTCCGAGACCGACTTGATCGACTACCATATGAGTTATTCGAGACGGATCCAATTGACCTAGTGGGCTGTCAGTGATTCTTCCTTGTTCCTGAATGCCAAGCATATGATTTCGATAATCGCAAATATCGTTGTTTCTGCATAAAAAAATGAAAAGGACTTTGAGGACACATAAACAGGATGCTCACATGAAATGTGGCGATTACATGGGAACAAAGTCATTGGCCTCACCTGATAGACAAGAAAATTCTGTATAAGATCGTTCGATTACTTTTGAAACATTTACCTCTGCTTCGGTGGAAGCATTTATTTCCTTTCAGACTTTACTAGAAATTCTTCATTTGCGCGCATGGTTTTTGTCCCAAACTCTCAACAAAAAACAGAATTTTCTTTCAGAAAGGCAGAAGAGGGTATCTGTGATTCAAGAATGAACGAGTCAGAAGGAAAAGGCCATTTTTTTAATGTCCGAATGTTGGATTAAACAACTGCATTCTTCTTTTCGCGTGGATTAGTGCTTAGTTATCCTAAAAATTCCAGAGTCCTAGTGTTCCCTACAAGCCAAGAAAGCACCAGAACCTTCAAAGTTTGCTTCCGATGATTTTTTCACTAAAGTCGCGAAAACAGCAATCTTCGGATCACAGCGACTGTGACTGATAAAAGAGTTAGATCAACTAAAACTAAAATCTAAGTCGAAAACGACCAAAAGGGACAAGAGTTTATGGAAAGGACGGTTAGCATTGAAATAAGACATGAGATAGTACAAAAAACAATTCACGCATCCCGTCAGTTCTCAGGTTGACTACGTTTGAACAGATAATGTTGGCCATCCAACCCGCCCAGTCTTAACATGGAATTTCTATCTAGGAGCAAAAAAAAACAGCTCTATCAAACCCATGCCACTTGATTTGTTAAGATGAAATGTGATGAGAGCCCCGTCAAAATATCGTCAAAAACGCGCCGTAAAATTTTTTTTCAAATGAATCCTTTCGCCAAAGATAGAGCGGGCTATAGAGCGGAGATTTTGAAAGTAATCTATAGGATTCTACACAGAAATTTCTTGTCTATCAGATGTGATGGTAGCTTGTGCTTCTATGCAGTACTAGCAAAGTTATGGAAATTTTTCTGCGTCACACTTCAAGTGGACCATCCTGTATAGATACACATCTCCTACCATCTGTGAGCTCCTGTCATCACCGGAGCTTCTCAACCTATCAGAATCTTTGCTGCCCGCATCATTCGACGACATTTTATGGTTGTTTGCAAGTCGTCACGACTATTGCTCAGATTCGTATTTCAACAGATCCACTGAAAAATTCCGTAAACTTAATCTGTTCGTTGTTTGAATACGGAAGCTATTAGATCCGACGATTATTAGATACAAACCCCTGGGATGCCAACATTTGCAGGCAACATTTGCGCGAAAAAATTGCAGGGACGGCGGAGGGAGCAAAAGCTGAAAATGTGCGCCCTAGAGGAGTAGTGCAGAAGTGAAAATTTCAGCAGGCATTTGAGGCAAAAATAACAATCTTTTCACGCGCAAATATCGGCACAAGAGTTAGCACTAGCTTGTACATGTGACAGCAATACATATTTGAAACTCCAGCACCAGTACATCCTTCATTTCAAGGCTTTCACTACACTGTTACGCGTATGAGGCAAAGATAGAGACTGTTGCGTCAACCCAATCTATATATATATATAAAACTCAATGTCTGTGAGGATGTTCGTTTAGTTGTTCGTTCGTTATAGAAACGCGCGCCACTGAACCGATCCGGCTGAAACTTTGCACACGTATGTTTTCGACCCCGGCAGTGGTTTAGAGCTACTTTCCGTGGCGATTCGCCGGGCCATTCTATCGATTTATTGATTTGTTTACTCAAACCTAAGAAAATGAAGGGCCATTATGGCAACCGATCATTTTTACATATAAGCATGTAAGCAGGGGCGGTAAAGTCCATTTCAGTCTTAAAGCCGGTATGGTGCGGCAATTAGTCTGAAAGCGCTTTATGCGCATGTTAGAAGAAATCTAGAGGCGTAAGTTTACAAGTTTTGTTGGCTTAACTAACTTGAAGTCTCGGATGAGACCGGGGCCACCAGCTAGTATTCTATGAAACACCATCTTTGAATGGTATCGAACACAAAACTAGCACAAGTAAATACGACTCATTTTCATTCAGTCTCGAGTGATTGAGCGGTGCTGATGCGGGGGGAGGCAGCGGGAGCGACAAACCTAGCACGAGGTGAGGATAACATCCACCAAGCCTAGCAACCACCATAGATCCGCTTCTCTGTTGTACGAATGCAGAATAGCTATTCGATCTTTTTATAAAAAAGGAACAAGTATCAGTTGCACTATAAAGTACCAAATTCTACTAGCTTTTCCTATTCGTGAATTGCGTAAAAATTGGGGAGCTTCTAATGACAGTGGTAAAACCTGAAACTTCCTTAATGCCTCCAAAAAAAAACTGCATCGCAGTTTTTCTCAAATCAGAAATTACAAATGAATTTCTAGGCCCAGCCTAGAAAACTTAACGCCATTTGCTAGCCCCATAACAAGTGGGCCCCATCTAAAGTCGGTTTCACCCCGGATTAGGCGGAACATCCCATAAGGAGGGGCGCGTACGCACCGCCGGAAGTCTCGCGAGCGCATAGCGCTGGCGTTTTGCCAAGCAGGGACTGAGGAGAAGGGGGAGACGCAGACCTCTGTCCTCAGCACGATATGATGTACTGTAGCTGCGAAACGGCGCGAGCTGTTGCGAGGCGGACGCCCGCCAATCCAATTTCCGCCTAATGCGGGCCGAAACTTACTGCATGTAAATCTACTTAACCGGCTGCGCGGGCGGTCGCGCGCGCCCTTCAGTGCGTGCCGGGACCTAGGGCATTGACTTAGGCCACGCTTGCTCACTCAAACTTTAAAATCACGGTTGCGCATGTTATGCACCCTTCTTGCTGTCAACATCGATGTTGGAAGGGACATATGAATGGTCTTTTAATGTTTATTGAATGACTTTCAGCTCAGCGCGATGGTCAGAGCTCAGAAACTTTACTTGTATTGAGAAGAGAAGCTTTTTTAGTTCAAGTGGGTAGGAAGTCTGCATGAGACAGCTTACTTCTTCCAAGAAAGGTTATGTTGCAGCAACTGGCATCAACACTTTCATATTGTTTTCGTCGTGCTGTTTCACGACGAATGGCCGTCATTTTATGATTGAAGATGTTTTTTGACTGTACTGATCTGTATACGCTACCATGGACTCACCGTGCCCAGAATCTTTTCACATGCAGCATTTATCATCTAGCGCTAAATTTTGTCAAGATAAGGCTTTTTTAACGATCGAAGCTTTTAGAGAAGGGAATTTTGAGCGGCTTGATATCTCTCCTCATACTTCTTAAGTTCTTGACTTGGGTCTACATAGGGCCTACAATTGAGCCTCCGCTAACATATCAGTTATTTATTGTGAACTAGAAGAATTGAGAGAGCTTTGCACACGTACAAGTTGATACTGTGAACTCATTGTGCATAATCCACCAATTATCTTTAACTTTGACAACGTTCGGCGTTCTCGATCCTTTGATCACGATTTGTTTTGACTTCCCGGTGCGATTTTGTTGGAAGGATTGAAAGTCCAGGCATGACTATGGGACAGTATTGCTATTGAACAGTTTGTTTAACTTGTCTCTAAAACTTCGAAGACGCTGGTGTTGGAATACAGACTGAATAAAAAGAGCATTTTGTTCTATGGAGGAAAACTAGTGATCAAATATCTCAAATCAGCATCTATAGCAATGCAAAACGTACCAAAGAAAGAAGCAATAATATTTTTTGGAGTGGTATCAATTCTTCTTCGAAAAAACATGATCTTAAGCAATACAGGAAGATCACACTGCTGGAAATGTACACTGATGCGCGCACTGAGGCTCTCGTACAGTGGCCTGCCCTTTCACAGGAACTTTAGCTGCAAAGCAGCTCCAGTATGAGAACGGCATAATTCTTTGGATGGGGAATATGAGAATATGCACTTCTGAGAATGTTCTTTGACCTTCTTCAAGTTCTGAAAGATTCAAAAACATGCCCAACCGCGATTTTCCAAGTTTGGGCGAGCAAGCGTGACCCAACCTCAATGTGCCCGCGGCCGCCCGCGCAGCCGGTTAAGTATGTAGATTTATGTAGATGGCGCCTAACAAAGTGTTATAAGAAAACTAGACGAAAACCGTCGACAACTAAAAAGATTTACATAGGAATTACCAAATAAAGTATATGTATATGAAGCTGAGGAAGCACAGAGGCAAGGTAGGAGATTATATGTTTGAAGGGCGTTTTCTGGTTGGAGCAAAGCAGATAACTTAGCTTACACATTTAGATGGACGATGCTTCACTGGTGTGCAAATGACAATGATGCACACTGTCGATTCTTGGCGTAAGAAAGAAAACTGCCCGCAAATACAAACAAGGCGCATTGAACTACGCCTAGCGAGAGCTGAAGGCGCAACTGCGCCGGGTGTCATGGCAGTCGCTGTGTGAGTGATAAAGCTTCAGATGTGCTTAGTACCTGGTGACTGGTGGTTATCACCCTTTTCTCTCCTCTTTTCGGTACTATTCCAGAATTCACAGCCCAAAGATGAGAAATTTTGGATTTCGTTCTAACATATGGGTTATTTGACATGCTGATCACGAAAATAGGTAATATTCATTTTGCATGCTAGGACCCTTTGGGGAGGGGGCGTGTCAAGATAGGTATATGGTGCGGGGTCAAAATCTCACAAGGGGAGAGGGAACTTACCTACCCAAAAGACTTGCCGGTGGGTACACGGTGAAGAGGCGCGATTTCTCCGGCTGCCACCAACTTAGAACTCCAGTTTGGTGCTATGCGAGTCTTCTTCAAAAAGTACCAGATAAAGTGCATTAGCTTACTATCTGTCTGGAGTTACCAGTTGCAGATTTGGTGACTTTTGCTGAAAATGGACCGAAATTTACGAATATGTTCTCAATTGCATTTTCATGGGTTTATGACCTTCAAAATTGCTGTTTAAACCAGTTCCAAGGTATTAAGATTGAACAGCCCATGCAATCATCTAGTACATCTCTTTATAAAATCTGAATACTTTTAGAATGTCATAAAACACTTTTTATGCTATTTGGGGTTCATCTGGCAGTAAAAATCGCCCCTCTTGACATATATATACAGGGCTTTACAACCTGAGTGTCCCACCCGCCCCGCTAGGACGCCACGCTTAGGTCCGCGCAGCGTTCGTGGCGCTGGCTGCGCGTCGACTGAAGCTTGGCGAAATCCGGGCGATACGCAGCAAACGCCGCGCGCGGCCTGAGCGAGGCGGCCGCGTTGGAGGAGCCGCGCAAGCGAAACTTGCGACTCTCAGGTTGAAAAGCCCTGTACGCCGCATTGTACCTTCGGTATCATGAGTTGTCAGCAACACTAACTAGCATGGTATGCAGAGCTGACCAGTCCAGTGACTTTCAGTTTTAGAGTATTGGTGTTTATTTTTTGTTTTTTGGATCGATTATGTGAAATATGTATGTATGATCGAACATATAATAATCTGACGGAGTTTGGATTCAGCCAATTCTCTAATCAAAGCCGATTTTTTTCGTTTCTCTTTCCAGTTTTTCCAAATTCACAATGAAGTTTATTGTAACAATTACATAGAAAAGTTTGCAGATTTGGCGAATTGAGCAGAGGTACCGATTTGGGAATAGCATCTTAGAAAACCCCTAGTTACCACCATTCACCTTAGCCGGGCATACATCGATACAGAAATTCCACTTCGATCACAGCGAAATTGGGGGTTCATACGTTATTGGATGAGTACGGGGCTTACTGTGTGTAGAGATCAGTTCTGCATAAGGCGCTAGGCACCCTGTGCAATAATCGACAGCGCTAATCACTAGACCGTTCGAGATCTTTAACACTGACGTGGCCCTTCACGGGCCGGATGTCGTTTGTGGGGAAAGCACAAGTGAACTTGTACAGTCCTCGACAGTAGTAAACTTCCTTTGAGTCGTGACGGCAGCTCGAGCGCTTCTTCTGCCCAGCCGAAACTTTTCGCATCCACCCAAGTAAATCGAGGGCATCGTGCCGAGGCATGTGCCCGAGTGCCTATGTTGTGGTGCCGCGCCCGGTGCGATAGGGCGCAATCACCGTGCCCCAGGCAGGTCGTAGTGACGCGCACAAAACTAGCAGTCGAGTTCGTCCGAGGTGGTGTCGCTTGCCGACCCGTAAGTGCACATGGATCGGTTGAACCTACAAATTTTCTGCATAAATATGAACTTTCACTGCAATCTTTATATTTGTAAGTCACAAAAGTTAGATGGCAAAGTACTAAGAAACTTTCTCTCATTACAGCGAGACTGGGTTCTGCTATCAAAATAAAGAAATTCTCAATCGCCCAGGGACAAATACAACTCACAATCTCAAATGACATATCATCCATCTTGGAAGGGCAAACGAATCAGTTTCACAAATATTTTGCAGAAATCAGAGAAAAATTGGTGAATTAGAGTGGTATCACTGCTTATTCCACCATATTTCCAAGTAATTCATTTCTCAAAAAAGAAGCTTCCAAGGATACTCGTCAATTTTTTTTCAAATCAAATGTGCTTATTGTTGCTGCAGTAAACAAAGATGTGTAGTATCGTCAAGGATTTTTTTCATTGCACAAATTATCATGCTCGGCGTCATCGTCTTCGAAAAGAGTCATGCTCATACTTCGATAGTCTAAAGGGCGTCAAAAGTGAAGGTTGTTTGAACATGTGACGTCATAAATAGTGAAGGTTGTAAAGAAGATCAGCGAAGAGAATATGACATGAAACAGATATAAAAAGCAAAAGAAACTGTTGAAAACCGGATAAAAACGCTGAAAAGAGGTCTGAAATCTTTCATTTGGCGGCTTTTCAAAGTGCAAGTTTTCGCTCCAGTACCAGCAATTCGCAACACGGGTTTTAATTTTTGACGCGTCCTTCAAATTTTTATCCCCGCATTGACGTTCCTGTTTCCTGGGACGTTGTCTGGATTGTTGCGCTCATTGTTTCGAGTAATAATCGCCCAAGCTGAAAAAAAATCGACGCGAAAGCACTGAAACAGAACAAGGTAAAGAAAAACGCACTTTTTACGGTTTTTGCAAAAGTTCCACCATAATCGAAGAGGTAAGGGCTGGGTGGTTGTCTGCATTATGAACAGAAGCAAGATCCATAGAATGCAAGGAAAAACCGCGTGAAAATGGTTAAACTAGGAGAAAAACAAGAGATTTTCGAAAACGAGGTTTTTGCCGGATTTCTCGTTCAAATCAAAAATGTGATTCTGGGACGTTGTCAGCGTGAAAGTAGAGATCGAGAGCTTCAAAATGATATATAGCTTGCTAGAACTGGATTCGAAACAGCGAAGAAAAGGGTACCAGAGCCAAAACGCCCCGCGTTTGGAGTAGC